TTATTACTGAAGATTTACACAAAACAGAATGTAGATAGATGGATTTACGCAATCTCTTTTTAAGTAGTAAATCAAATCACCAACTTAAGGTACCATACGTCTTGTTTACTTTATAGTAATGAACTCACAAGATACATAATATAATTTGTGATGAGGCGCCAAGAGGTTAAATGTTTGCAGATGATATTGACTTAGTGAACAGCAGTACACATAAATGCCCTAGAGACTAATTGGAACAATAATGATGGGCGTTGGAAGCCAGTAATAAGAACATTTAAATATCACATATGTGCTAGAATTCAAAATAAAATAACTGTTTTTACTTGGGAGTTGCGCGTATGACCGGAAAATATGTGAGAAATAGGACAGCATAGTTAAAAAAATTAAAATGAAAAAACTAAATCAGTTAAGAAGGTAACAAACACCTCACTATAGGAAAACGGGGATATCATATAGGCGAAGAAGCGAAAATGTATGTTATAAATGGAAACGTGGAAGATCAAGAAATGAGATATTATATGACGGCGATTAGAAGAGATAGGTATAAGGTGAAAGATAATTAGAACACGGCCGACTTCATTTGTAGATAAGGCACCAGAGTTTCACATGATGATATCTCATTTAAAGTTTAATTTCCACTCACGACACCTGTCAGAGAAAAGTTTTGCCAAAAAAAAAAAAAATGTACACATACACCAAGTAAGTTTTGATATTACTCACACGTGTCACGCGACTAATATGAAAATAATTTGAACAACGTGTGTGTTTGTTGAACTTTCATCTTACAGCTCATGCCATTAAATTTTACGTTTTTATCGCAATAATTTTATTTTAACAACTATGTTTGTACGTACATTATTTAATTAAATTCTGCACTACGGGCAACCGTTAATAAGTTTATGTGAAATCATATTTTTTATGAATTTAGTTTCGTTCTTGTAAATTTGGGTTTCTTTTTTACCATTTTGTTCAGTAAATAATAGCTTAAAAATAAAAACCCACATGACGTTTTGTGCCCAATTTTTGTAACGAACGTTATATTGTTCGAATTTGTCGAATGTCCTGACTTAAACAAAGAAAAGTGTGCGTGGGCACAGGAAATTGATTTCGGTAAAATTGAAAAATGCCCACTTGGTAATTACTTCTAAAAGTATAAAACACAATTTATGGTTATGAGCTAGTATACCCGTTGCATATAATCTAATAATTTTATATCGGGTAAGGAAATAATACGTGACTCAAAAGTCGAACATCAATATTTGATAACAGTTTATCATAATAAATGTCTTGCCAAGTCAGTTCAGAGCAATACGGTTTAAAATTTAAAATAAATAATTAATGGTTGATTATGAGGTAAACCATTACTGTTTGGTCACTAAACTAATAATTGTCAACAAACTAATTGATTTAGCAAATAACATAATTAAGTGGAGGACGACAAACAAATAGTTCATAACTCATAAGAGCAAATTAAAATATTTATTTATTTGACCATTAACGTATGCGGGTCATTCCTTGTAAAACAAACAATATTTTTAAAATGTCTGACCTTTTGTAAAAAGCAAATCATGGCTTGGCCGAAACACAAATGTTTTTCGTCAACCAGTTCAAAAATAATGGCCATGGGCACGAACAATAAACGGCATAGCCACATTAAAAAAACCACAACTCTTATTAAAAATAACTTAAAAATGTAAATTTCTAACGATCTATTCTGATGTCAAGGAAAAATATCAAACTTCATAAAAAAACCCATTTGAGCTTTTTATTTTATAAACATTGAATTTTTATACAAAAAAAAAAAAAACACCGTCATCAAAAATTATGAAAACGTATTACATATTTGCATAAACATAGTAAATATGTGTGCAAAGTTTTAAGATGATCATTTGAATACTTTGAGAGTTACAGGCTTTCAAAGTTGAAAAATAGTGTTTTTGCTGAATGGAAAAATATACACACTTTGGTCACGCGTAAATTTATACTTTTCATGTTTAATTTCAATACTATTATTGTTTTATGGTATTATTAAGTTTTTTCCGTCACAATTTTGTACAAACGACAAAAAAAATGACACAAGGTCAAACACATTGTCGATTAAGAATAGATTAACTCGTTTCTCTGATTGCCATAAAAAAAAAAAAAACCCCCCAATAGTTAATCTCGGATAAAACGATTACTGTCGACAGGCGCCATTAGCAAATAGAAATTTTAAGCAATAAAAAACAATCAAAGCATGCTACCTCTGCCCCGTAGTATTGTAAGGCCAAAGGTGTCCGTCTAACAGCCAAATGTATTCCTTTCGGCTGTTCCAATTCACTTTGTACGACAATAGTGTTTCTCTGTATTAGCTGTTGTATATAATAATAATTATTATTATATACAACCGTACCGCCGTAGTCTGGGGAGTAACGGCAAAATCACTCAATAGCGTAATCATTACAGTCTGTTTGCCGGTGTGGTAATCCTGGACTAATCGCAAACGGTCCCTTTTGTGTCCTTAACCCCCTTCTGCCTGTATTATAGCAAACGCGCTGTGCGGCCTATTGTTTTTAGGGGGATTAATATTGTACCGCGCGACTGCACCGGAATCACGGCCGTAGCTGTTGCCTGGAGGTCGTTAATTACAGAATTTCGCCGTCCACATATACCTCTGCGGTGTAGTTTTGACAAATTGGCCGTGTGTGTATAATCCGGCAGAGCACATCAAACTTTTCGGTCTAATCGATACTGAGCTCGAAACGGCTCTCTTCTGCTGCGCGTACAGTCGCCGTCGTTTCAGCTACGACCACCTTTTTTTTTTTTTTTTTTTAATACATTTTTCGGCTGCACGACTATTAGTTTTGGTAAACGGTGTTTGTAACCGAATATCGCATTTTCATTACATCGTTATTCGTTTTTATCCAATTCAACGGGTGGTGTTGAATAATACATTTTTTTAGTATAAATTACCACCCTTGAAAAATATTTAAACAAAGCTGTTGTGTACACATTACTGCCCGTCATGACCAATTAGCTACATTTACTGTGTACATAGCTATTCGCAAAGAGCACCCTGTCGAGGACCGTACCCCGTCACGTCGAAACGCCTCTTAGGACAATGCTTTTCCGGTCCACTTGATACAGTGTATCCGCAATTAACTGAATCGCTATAGAAATAAAAATGTCGAGTACCATTCGACTTGATACAATAAAAAGGTGTAGGTTAATGACACCTTATTAATGAGAGCTCATAATTGAAATAATTTTATAAACCATTTACAGCAGTTTTGATTTTTCTGTTAAGAGCTTTCTTTAAATTAGAATGATAGCATTGCAACCTATGTATATAGTAACGTTGTTGAGTTTGAAATTTATTTCGGTTGAATTTTACATGTACGAAACGTACTTATACTTATACTCAAAGCATATAAAAGAGCAAATTTTGTACCGAGGTCTGCGCCCTTTGGTCGCACTATAAAATACTATTAAAGGACAAAATATAACAAGTTAAATATAATAGCTACAATACATGAGCGTATTTTGATTTAATAACTTAAACATGCAATAAGTTTAAAAAAAACAACATTATTTACTATGCCGTGCTCCTTTGGTGTTTGATGTATTCCATCCGACCAAAGGCGAACAACAATGTGGTCGATTACATTTTAAGTGTGTACTTGGTACCAGACCAAGAACTAACTGGTTAGCCAGTAGGGTTAATAAGGATATTTGTATAACAAATGGCCGATGGGGCAAGTGTATTGAGATGAGTTGATATAAATAACAAACAAATCTTATATTACCTTACTTATCTTATTTAATTATTATTTGACCTACATATGAACACTAAATAATGAAAAAATCGTTTAATCGAAATTAAACCTTTTTTCCTTAATAAAATACTGCATTTACATTTGTTTACAATTATTATCCCAATTGCCTTATTTATTCGATACAATAAAGTGACAAACAATCGTCATCTCTTCAGTAGGTATGTGCATTGCGAATTACATTTTATTAGTACCTACTACGTAACTTATTTAAATTAAGAGTTGAGCAAACTCTGATTTGATTAATGGTTAGCGAATAATACAATTAAATCACCTGTTTTTTAGGTGATTTAATTTAACATTAGGCAGTAATGTGATTTAGTTATCAATCATAATTTAAAGCTATCAATTAACATACTCGTGAATAAATATTTAACTTAATTCGTTTTTGTTTTTTTCATTTATCAGCTTTATAATATTTTTCAATTATTTAATTTATAATATATTCAAGTACTATTACTTACTCGTTTAACTCGTGGCTAACTCTAATTTTATTGCAATGAATTAATTAAACGAACCAATAGTCTCAAAGAAAAATACGTTTAATCGATTAATACTCTTACTATGATTAAATATTCTCGGGCCAATATAAAGTCATAAGATGGCGGACCGAAATATTGTTTATGCTTTGTGTCCAATACTTTTTAAAAGTTTTTAATTAGATTTGATAGAAACCCATCCTGCCTCTTGGAAGACGAGTAACTCGGAAACGCCATTTTTTTGTATTTTACATATTTTATCATTTTAGCTAAAACGTTTTTGTACGTTCTTAGAAATTCGTATCATTTTACCCACCACAATGGCAGTTGCCAAATCAACCCTTGACTAGGACAAATAGGGGTTTGTTTATCTCGCTAGTCATGGTGATAAATACACATATACATCTGGTTAAGTCCCAAATCCCATGCTATAATTTTCGTGTACGTGCGCAGTCTTTGCTAATTCGAAACATTAAACATGTTATTAATTTCCCTAGCGAAATGCATTGAAACTTTTGTTTTAAAGTTTTTGCATTCTGAATCTCGGTAGTTTTGAACAATTTTGGTTGCATTAGTAATAATATAAATTTAAATCAGTAGGCGAAGCGAGTGAAATGCTAATTGAATAAAGTATGCTAAAAAGTTGAAGAAATAAAATTAATTTTGTTTGTGTGAATATCAAAATTTATTTCATACAAATTTGTTACAGAACTTTTTACGGGACTTGCTAAAGGAAGCGAAAAAAATCAACGACGTATCCGAGGATAAACTCATTGAATACACAGACACAATGGTAAATGACTATTATACATTTATATTCACTAAAATGTAAATAACTGTTTTAATACAATTTTCAACTGAATTGTTTGTAAGTCGGTTAGTATTTTATTCACAGTGAAATGATGTTTATACCAAAACTTTTCTATGACTTTAATGCTCTCTCTCTCTCTCTCTCTCTCTCTTTGGTTTTAAAGCCCGTAAATTGGTTTTTGTTCAATTTCAAAATAATTGCATATTTAAATTGCTAACAGTCGTAAAAAATAATTGTTTTTAAAAATCCGTGACGTTAACTTTAACAACGTCTTAATAGTGTTATCTTAACTTTATAATTTAATTGAATACTATGTTATTTTATAATTAATATACTAGGTAAACTATTCAAACGCGTCCTTTAATTCGTAATTGTATAATATATTTTTATTTATTTTTAAAATATTGCTTAAAATAAACTGAAATCAATAAAAAGTTAAGTTGATAAAGTTTTTTCTTGTTGTTCGCATTTAAAACTAATGCATGAAATGAAGTATTTTTGTATTTTTTATATCCTATTCATATTTAAGGCTTAAGGTATTTTTCTATGCTCATTTTTTTCAGTACTCGCCACTATGATAAAATTTACCAGACTTTATGCTAAGGGTATGATTTATACGGTCGTTTTTTTCTTGACTTCCGCATTGCAGTGCGTTGCAGTCACCAATTCTCTCTATCTTGTAGTTTTTTTTATTATTTATTTCTAACACAATCCAGTGCAGAATAGCGATAGAGCATAATAAGTACCCGTTTAAACCGCCGATGGAGTGAAGAAGGAGTGAAAGAAAAAATATAAATAGTATTAATCTAGTAGAATTGAATTAAATTATTTTACAACTGCAAATCTATCTAATATTATACAAACGATACTGTTTAATATTATGACTTTTTATTTTGCTTAGTTGCAAGTTTTCGACGCCAATAAGGACGGAAAATTACAACTTTCTGAAATGGCCAAGTGAGTATATTGGTAGTTACTATATACAAATGTAACTAATTATCATAAAATGATGTATAAATACTTGTTTTACACATTAAAATACTTAACACATACACCGTGTATTTATAACATATTATATATACACATACGCATCAATAACTAATTGTTTTAATTAATTTTAACACTTTTGATTACATTATTGATGAATGTTTATTTCAACTAATTAATTAATTAATGATTAAATCTTGAATTCATTTAGTTCAATGAAAATGTTTTACTGACTGCGACCAACTTGTTCACAGTTGATCGATTGATGCCCAATACTAACTTAAGAATTGGTTTATTTGATTTAAGACCAAACGACATAACCACAGTATCTCTAATAACATTTTACATGTTACCCTTTAACAAATAACCATAATTTTGTTCATCGTAAAACTATTTTTATTACTCGAGTTTAGTTATTCGCCAAAAACAAAACAAAATATAAACATTACATACAGTCGTATGACTTAAAATTTGACTAAACTTTGTCGACGGTAAACAATAATGTATTTTGATTCTGTTTTCACTTTGCCCACGACTCCAGGTTGCTTCCCGTCAAGGAGAACTTCTTGTGCCGTCAAGTGTTCAAAGTAAGTACAATATATACATTATATAATATTCGTGTAATAGCGTGTGTCTGACGGATGAAATGTAGTTCTCGCGTGTTCCGTGATAAAATACATTTGAACACACTACCTAAGGAAACCCAAACCCTATCGTTAATGGGTTTTTATAAGCCAACCAGCCAGCCCCAGCCCTTTGGCCGGCGGTATACTGATGACAGCAGCTGTTATTTTAAAACCACATTACACACCATGTAAGATACATATTTTTTTTTTTTTTTACCCTTGACCATTACACGTCGAGCTCGTGTGTTTGGCATTCGATATCGATATCGCATTCGGTGTACCTTTATAAACATAACAATAATGGCACTAGTATTACAGAGCACTGTATAAAATATGATGTATATATATATGCAGGACGGGGTCCGTTTCCTGCATTTTATTGTTATTATTTTGACGGCGAAAAGGCCAAAGGTCAATAACTACTGCTCGGCGGCGGTGTACGGTCTTTTATTGCTTTCCGGTGTGCGACTTCCACTTGGGAGCTACGCGTCAACATAATAATATGTAGGTTAAACTAAATAGCCCTTCTGGTTGAAGAGTCTAACAAGCCGACTCTAAAGTCTAAATTCTTGTAAATTCAAAAAAAAAAATACTTATACATATACATGTACTAACTGCCAGCATTGTGTTAGTTTGTAATTGGAAAAAAACAAAATACGTTATTAGTATTAATAAAAAAAAAAAAGAACAGAAATTAAATAAAGAGGGTATTATTTCGAGTTTGTATTATAACTTTTTAATTTAAAACTCTATCGTGGTTAAATTAAAAAAAAAAAAAAAATTTCTCAATAGCATATTGAGAATAGTACAGAAACATTTGACTCTTTTTTTTTTTTTTTTTTTAATTTCTTTTTTCTTTTTCAGGGGGCGACCAAACTGACCAAAGACGATATCGAAAGAGTGTTCTCGTTGTACGACCGGGTAAGTACGACGTTTGTATTTGCAAGCGTTTCAATTAAGACCTACCGTTGAAATAATAAACATAAACATGCATAATATTATTTTATTTTCATTTGATATTCAAGAATGGTAACGGTTTCGTAATAAATTATAACAAAAGTGTTGGTAGAGAATAAGTACAGCATAAACATTGTTGTCGGGATAAGATAATAAGAAGAAATAATGTTCCGAATGAAAAACGTGAACGCATCAAGAAATTTGTCTAGAGGAACTTCAGTGGATGAATAAAGAGAATTTATATACATTTTTATTTTATTCGGTACAAGAGAAAAAGCAATTTCAGGGAGAAAGTTTTTTATCGTTTCGATTTATTTTGCGAAACAAGACTACTGAGATCAGCTTAAAGATTATTTCCGGCATATGAAGAACCCGAGCTCGAATAAAGTAGCTGGTGTTTTTTTTCAATTTTTAGCAACAAACTCTTCATGTATTACTTTCAAATCGTTTATCCCAACGTATCGTTGGTTAGCCTATTTTTTAAATAATTACCCTAAAGAAGAGTAGAAATAAAAATATTAATTTATAGCAAAAAAATATCATTAAAAAAAAAAACAGTAAATGGCATCCGGTTTACACTTTTGCGATACAATTAAAGCATGTTATACCAATTATATTTTTTATTTAAAAATTTGTTGCCTTCCAAGCTTGTCGACAAATCAATACATAAATATTAAATTGTATTAGTTACTAGTTAGACAATATCGTTAATAACAACAGACACTCTATAACAAATAAATATAATCACCATTCAACCGCAGTCCTTTTATTGACTGATAGCTCGAGAAGAAATGTATACATTAGAATAGGTAGGGATGTAGGATACAAATAATATTAATGTTCCAAAAATATTGAAGTATGATGTTTTTTAAGATTCCTTTTGAACAATATGAATTCAGCTTTAACGATAAAAAAAAAACGCTTAACTATCCCTGTAAAATGTTAACAGTTTATGAACCCCTGTAAAAAAAAAAAATGTGTGGAAGAACAACATCTATAAACTGGGATTCAGAATCCAATAAGTAAATTTATATATATATATATATATTTTTTTTTTTTTGTCAACTACCCAATACAATAAAGTTAATTTCGAGGGTTGTACCGAGTGAAAATGAAAGTGATTTACTCGAGAACGACAAAAACATTCAGCGGAAACGCGCAATCATGTTATACGAACCGTGAACGACAGTGTGTATCCCTGTAATATTTATCATTTATGAGCAGTAAACTGTGCTATAAGTTCGGAACGGTGCCAAATATATTTGACAATTTATCGTTGAAAAACGAAACACTTCCTTCTTTAATCGTCGACGTTTCCAATTATTATTTCCAAAGTTTACCGTTAAACAATTCAAAATTATCACCGCACACAAAGTTCCTGTATTGCGTTGGTATCACATTTGCGCTTTAATACAGTGTGCAGTAACGTTTGAAATTACATTTGAAGATGACAATCTGTATTATTGTAGTATGTAATGGAATATAGCCGTGGACAAATAAATGAACCGTAACATTTTTATAATATTTATTTTAAATACTGAGTTGTACAACAATAATGCAAATCCAGCAATATGTACACGTGCCGTACAGAATTTTAATGTAGCATAAGCAAAATTATACCCTTTGTGTTTACCGTTTAAGGCAAGCGAAAAGAATAACTGGTGTTACTCTCGCAACTGATTTTGAGAGGGAATTAATGTACTTTGCATTGCCATTTATCGTACGTCCTACGATCCGTGTCCTACGGTGTTTTATTTATATATATTTTTTCCAAGTCTTCAAAAATAATTGTAATGTACACAAAAAATACACCCGATATTCTTTTTGTTTGCCTTCAATAGTAAACACAAAAGGGTATAATTTTGCTTATGCTATATTAAAATTATGTAGGGCACATGTACATGTTGCTGGATTAGCATTATTGTTCTACAGCTTAATATTAAATAAATATTATAAAATTGTACCGCTTAATTTATTTGTCCACGGCTGTATTTAAGTTTCAAAAGTTGCTATCGAAAAAACTAAGTTGGGAGGGGGGTAAAAACCAAAAAATTTGTGAAAAATTGAGATCACATTATAAAAAAAAAAATTATCAACTAAACCCAGGTATTGACTGGTTCATGATAAAAGAATCACCTGTAGGCTGTATATTAGATACTTTTCAATCTCTAAATTGTATTTTATTGGACGGTAATTTTTAACCAATCTATTGATGATATAGTTAGTCACTGTTAGCAAAGTAAAACACGTTTAGGCAGTTTTACTTGTCTGTTATTTATCGACGCAACTTTCGCGCACTTTCTCCCCTCAAAAACATAATACGTCTGTGCACTCAATGATAAAAAAAATATAACAATAACCTAGTGGGATTTATAACTTATCTCATAGTGCCAGACGTGGTGCATTAAAAAATAAAATACAAGTAGTGCCCATTCAAGTTGTATTTTTGTACGCAAACGGCAAACATTTTGTATTTTAGGTTCAAATTCACAAGTTACACTCAAATAACCAATCACAATCTATATAAATAAGTAATAGGTTACCAAAAGGCCAGCATTTTTTTTTTTTTTCATAGGAAGAAGGGGGCAATAAACGACCTAGTATTTCATTAATATCATTTAACATCAACTAAATAGAGATCAAAGCAGTTATTTCATAGTAGTCATCAATATTTAAGTAAATAATTCAATTTAAATCTCATTTATATTTTTTCTTTGATATTTTTCCTCCATTTTACATATTCAGTCAGCCACAGGTTATACAATTATATTCTGTAATTAATGACTGGCTGTAATGAGTTTTAAATGTACATAATACATACATTTGATGAATAAAAATGAAAAACATGATATCGACCAGTTAATAATATTGTTTTAATTAATCAACCCGGGTATTGTGTCTGTAATTAAAGAGGGACGGACGGAAAGAATGTGAGGGGCATAATATGTAGTACTTATTGTTATGATAGTAAAATTATAAAAAAAAATTACTTTTTCTTTTAAACAGCTTAATTTGAACAAGTATATGTAAAATAAAAACACAATTTCAATCTTAAAGAGCTGTGAGCTATCGGCAACAATCGCGCTGTGACACGGCAAAATATTTATTATTAATAATAATATTACATTGAAAATCGTTGAACGTTATGAAAGTATTTTTATTAAATTCCTTTTTATGATTGAGACAATACAACATTGATAACATAATAAATGTCTGTTGGTTTATTAATTATGCAACCTTTATTTAAACGTATTTCCGATTACCTTGAACTTTAGGAATACCAACGATATGGTATTTTTTATCATAAATGTTTTTCCACAATAATAAAATAAATAAATAAATATATATATATATATATACACATATTTTTTGTTTTATTTTATGTAAGTTATAACAAAATGGCAAAAGTGCATAGGTTTTCAACAATATCAACTTCCTATTATAATTATTAATCGTGTTTTACATAGTTATATATTTTAGTTTAGTTCTATTTAATTTACTTACGATTTTTAATTCTATTTTCGTGTTAATTATGTGTCCGCCCCAAGTGATTCACTAATGCCATTATGCCATATGAAATTAAAAAATATATAATATAGTTCTATATCGTATAATCTTACTCGTAAAAAAACTTACATAGTTGAAATTATAAAAAAAAAAAATCATAATAAAATGTATACAAACAATGATCAAAGAGAAATAATTGTTATTATTATTATTATTGCAGGACAACAACGGAACCATCGAAAACGAAGAACTTCGAGGATTCTTGAAAGACCTTCTCGAGCTGGTTAAAAAAGTCCGTATACTTTAATTCTCCATTACGATAATATTCACATATTAGGAAGTTAATAATCAAGAATAACAATAGTTAAAATATTAATATAATAATCAGGGACGTTATGACCCATAGAGAACATAGTGAAATGTGCCAGTGGGCCAGTGGCCAGATGTGGCTATTATGAAATTATATCCAAAATTTAATAAATAATTGTTGTATAAATAACTTTAAACTTTCACGCACAACTTTTAAGTAGGCTGTGTTGCGAGGGGATTAAGTATAAGCACCAATTATTCTCCCTCGCCAGCTTAACAAAACAAAAAAAAACTGTGTCATTTGGCAATCCTTAATAAGACATGCACTTTAAAACAAACCACTGTTTCTCTTTTATTATCTTTTTAGAATTAGGTCTTAACAATGGAGCAACTGAGATTTCAGGATACCGATGACAATAATTTCAGTTAGGGACTAAAATAAATAGGATTTTTTATTTGTTTTTCTTGTAAAAATACCTTTTAAGTTTTCTTTCCATTTTCCCATCCCAAATGTCGTAATTATCCACAAGGAATAATTTCAAATGTGATTAATCCAAAATAAAAGTAAGATGGATAAGTATTTAAGTTATAAAACATTTGAGATAAAATAAATTAAATACAATTTTTTTTAACAATTTGAATTGAAAACAAAATCCGGTTAGTAAAAACTAAAAAACAACTTTTAAAGACTTTTAAATCAGTCTTACTTCAAAATGTTTAGTTAAAATTTTATTTGGCAAATATACATGAAAACAAATTATTATTGAGAATAATTGCTAATAAATATTACAAAATATACTTTCGGATTGCTTTGTTTGACAAAGTAATCCGCTCGATTATATTATAATCGATCAAAAACTTTTTTTTTTGTGAAGCAAGAGGCGATTAGTTTTAATTTCAAATGTGCACAACTAATTAAGTATTACTGTAAGTTTATAATTAAATCAATATTATTCTGAAAAAATGTATTATAGGTATAATAATTAATTGTGAGGTTTTATAAATTAAAAGAAAACTTCTAAACTAAATATCAAAATAAACAATTTCTTTCTCCGAGTGGTGTTACGGGGGTAGATTTCGTATTTATGTTAATCTGTAATTTTTATTTCCATCACGCAATCATAATAAAATAATAATAACATAAGCCAATTGCTGATAAAATGACTTTGAATTGATATTAAATATGTTTTTGGCAGGTACACGATGCGTACATTGTGGTTTTACGTTGTTTGTTTTTTTTTTTTGGTGTTTAGGACTACGACGCTGACGACTTGCAAGACTTCGAAGAGACAATACTGCGAGGGGTAGACTACAACGAGGACGGCAAGATCAACAGAAAAGAGTTGACCATGATACTGTTGGCTCTCGCCAAACACAACCAAGAAGATGATTCGGCCGCCAAGAAAGAATAATTTCAACAGTTTCATTTCCAATCATGATACATTTTCGACGGAGAAAACAAAAAAAAATTAATTAACGTGCACAAAATAAGTATGTCTTGTCATATTGTATCAAATGGGGCGCAACTCGTACCCATAGCGCATAATTTGTTGTTATTTTGACGTATTACAATATTAACTGATATTATTATTATTATTATTATTACTATTATTATCGCGTTTGCTAAAATTAATTATGTATTTTATTGTTGTTCGATTATCTTTTATCTCTATTGGGTAAAATTGTGGATTTCCGTGTTACTGTTAGTCTGATTTAATATTAGTACGCATTGTCCACTTGTTAACTAATGGACAATTTTTCTCTCGTTTTCTCTCTAATAGCGGTCTCTCTCTATCTATCTAGCTCTCTGTTATAATTATATGTTATTGTAGTATGTCTCTATTGATATTTTATTCGTTGTTTGTTTTCTGCGCACTATTTGGCACTTCAACCTTTTCAAATTCAAAACAAAAATATATATATATATGCATAATAATAAATTAATGTCTATACGAGAAGTTCTACTGATCTGTCCAATCATCATATATTTATTATTATTGTGTGTTCAGTTTTCTCAAAACCTTGTATAAAATAGTACATTGTAACAAGTCTACTATTAGGTATCAATAATGTTTACTAATAACTTATAATTGTTATAATAGTTGTCTGTTTAAAAACTAGTTTTGATCTGTCATTTTAGGAAAACAATTTAATTGATTACTATTGTATTACTTTATTATACCTATTATTATTATTATTATAAATTTACTTAAATACATTACTATTATTCATCGAAACAGTTTTGCCATACAATCGTTTTAGCGAGTAGTGTCTAATTTAACGACAACACTTTTTTTTCTAATTTTCAATTAGTAAAACTATATTTATAGTGTAAGTACAATATATTGTAGTGCGTAGCCGTTTCCATTTAAACGTACAGAAAAAATGCAATAAAGATTCAATCATAATTTACATGTGTTATATATTTTATTGTGACAACTAATTTTTTACATGCGGTCATCCCAATTCCGATTTCTCTCCATACGTCTCCTTCGACCTACCTCTACCACTAAACCGTTACAAACCCATAATAGAAAACATTGTAACCAAACTTCTTCAATATCTCTTCTCTCCCATTTTTGTGAACTTTTAGGCATTTTTAGCCCAATAAAATACCCTACAGGTACAATTTCTAATCTATAAGCTATCCTGGGTCCAGACACAAAAACTACAAACACATCATTGTAAAAACAATACCTTTTCTGCTACACAACATTTACACCGATATAATCCGTTTGTAATTATTTACACACAACGTAAACATGTATGTTTTGTCAAGAAATTGAAAAACTTGAGAAATTATGATTTAACTAAAACGAGTTTGTGCAATAAAAAAGTACCAATATAAAAACTGTTTACAGACAAAAGATATTACATTATTCAAACGATTTCCTTTTTATTTATACAGTGAAAATGTATTTAAGTACATTCTATCGGTCTTACTCGACAGAGTTTATTGTCCAATTCAAAATATGATGTAGCAGTAAGGCTTTAATCGGTACTTTCGGTTTAACTTTTTTCTTGTAATACATAGCATACAACCCTAAAAATTATAACATATTTATAAGAGTATTTGGAAAGTAGAGGATTACATAAACATTATGTTTAAAATTCAACATTTTTGTCAATAAGTAAATAACAAAAATGGGAGTTTTTTTAACGCATAACATTTGGAAGCCGTTGGGAAACTATTGTCAAATTAATTCAATCACTAAAATATGTAAAAGTGATCAATCGCTCGATTACTAAACTGTGAATAGATTATAAATCTTAAAATTATATTTATTTATTTGGTCAGGTTAAAGTATGTGTCACTCATCTGTATCACTGACGGACCACTATTTCTGATTAAGATTAAGTTTTATGAGCCAAATTCGACATAGGCCAGGGACCTATTTAGACGGCTAGATAGTTATTTTGAAGACTTAGAAATATATATATATATACTTGTCTTTCAGTTATACTTCAAATTTGGTATATATTATAATAATGATAATCAATAGATCGTGTATTATCAATTTTCAGGAATGACGTTTTATTATTATTATTTTTATATTATGTAGCTTTTATTAAACACATACAATCTGTAAACAAATTTTTACAAAAAGTATTTTTTTAAAACTATTTACAATAAAATATGTACATGATTACTAACACGAGAAGGAAACCCCACATTAGGGGCACCTCTAGAATATAAAAACAAATAGGAATGACGTTTGAACACTTAAACGCAATGCTACATTTCAGTGCAAAAATTGTAATCTTTGTAGAAAGCTGTTTATGTGTATGTACATGTCGCTTCGGAATATTTCATATTCCATCAAATTCTGTGCTATAACAAAAATGTACTTATAGTACAATTATATTTATGGTGTATCATTGTTAGACTGTTGAAATAACGAAATACAGAAAAAATAACTGTACCTAATGGCAAGGTACACAGATCAGACTGTAAAGATTATATTTGTTTAACAATCGCTGTTGTTGCTCAAACGAAATCGCACAACGTCGACTCGCGTCCAAACTGTTATAGATCAAAGTTCGTGTATCTCTATAGCACACACACACACACACACGTATAAAAACATAGCCGAATTATACGAATAAACGGAAAGCGTCTGAACAATTGCACAATATCCGACGAACGCAGAACATATTTTAGGCGTTGCTCCAATTATTGGCGTCATCGGATTTCGAGGTCGGGAATCGCGCAATGATGATAATAATTTGTTTTCGTTTTTTTTCAACAGTATTATTTCCTTAAACAGTGCACAACGCAACAAGCCCGACAATAACACATAATATCCGCGATACCTTTCGTCGACTGTGGGCAGCTCGACCGGAACCGCCGTTTCCCGCGCTTTTTTAACGCGTTCGCCATGCAGCTCTCGTCGTGGTCGATGATGACCGTTACCGCGGTCATGGTGACGGTAACGTACCCGCGGGGGTCGGCGGCCATTTGCGTGAAGATGTTCGAGGACAAACACTACCGGGGCAGCAGCATGGACGCCTGTGCGGAGAACGCCGAGTGCATCACTCTGCCGGAACACTTCAGGGACGTGACCTCGTCGATCGGCATGGAGGGCAACCGGTGCGTGACCTTGTACGACCGGGTGGAATGCGAGGGCAACAGCATCACCGCGGGAGAATGGGAGACGTGTGGCCCGTCCGACTTGAGCGACAAGTACGGTCAATGGTCGTTGATTTTCCGGTCGGGGTGCAACCATCCCACGAGAGGATCGTTCAACGACGAAGCCAGATCGATAAGGATACACCATTGAGTCATTCAGCGCACACACACACACACACAGAATTAATTATATCAGAAAGGGCGGTTTCACAAAAACGTGGTGGCCGCATGTTCTATCATCTGCTAAATTATATCTATACACGACTAAAAGTAATAACGTACCTATAGCCGATTATAATTATAGCAGGTTTAGAAAATGGCCGCTTCGTTTTTGTGTGATAAGTATCTTTCCCGTGTTTATTGTTATCAGTGTCCGGGGCCGGGTCATTTTAGAATATAGGGTAGAGTGAACTTTTTTTCAACTTTGAGGCGACCGAGTAGCCGCAGTTGTATTGAATTTTCAACAAAAAAAATTACCCCGACAAGTTAGTTTCAACCAAACTAGTTGTGTTAGAACTTTACTAATCGTATGACTTTGTATGTAACAAAATTCATGGCACTCGGATGGACCATATCGATGACACTATGCACAGATGTTTTTTTTTTATTAAGTCGGATGAAAAATAATTACAACCTTTTCAAGGTAGGTACCTACGTTATAATCTAATCGACAAAAAAAATTCACTCCACCCTAATGAACATTACCCGTTAGAGATAAGATACATAACACAAAATCCAGGAAGAAATGTTTAGGTCTTCGTCAATTTCAATCATATGTATCCTTAATTAATATAAAATAGTAAATGCGTTTAATTTATCTCCCAACGATAATATATGTATCATTAAAGTTTGTATTTATTATAATACGTCAAGTAATCGTTCTAAGACGGTTCATGCTGTTGGTATATTTTACATCAATGCGAAATACATTGATACTAATTTTTTTGATTTTTTATAGTATACTAATAAATGGGACATTATTTGGTTTTAGATGATAATTTTAAAATTAACATTCTGTTTTTTTTCTCGAAAATGTTACCATTTTGTACCCTGTTGGTTATCACCACTTCAATTGTTTGTATGTAAAAACGGTAAACGTTACAGTATGTTTTAGTTGTAATATATTGAAAATAAAATATTTCAGAAACATTATAAGTATATTTTATGTATTTAGCACCTATGTTTAAAATTAAAACGTAATAAATTCAATTCAATAGCATATAAGAACTTATTATATTGTAATGTTTTTTTTTTGCTCTTTGGGATTTTACTCTTTGGTTCTGAGCATTACTATAACTGTAAGCGTTCATTAACATACTTACATACCCTTTATAATATTATTATATTTATATAATAGATTATGAGATCCCAATATTGAGATTATGCCCTTAGATCGTAATAATATTAAAATCTATAATAGATCTGATTTTTTGTTCCAAAAATCCTTTTTTTCCCCTAACGTACACTGATTGATGTAAGTCGAGTCCTGGGCGTCCAACTCTTCAAAAAACGTTTGAAATTTTTTCTTTTAAATTTACTAAAAAGAACTGGCAGGTAGTTTGTTAAAAAAAAAACTAAAAAAATTCAACGTAGGTATTAATAGCACAAACAATACACAATAATTTTGTATGTGTTTTTCGTCTTGCCGCGTTACCGGCAGGGATTTCTCCATGAAAACTCATGGAAAATACACAGCAGTTGCGGACCGTGGACTGGCAAGATAATATTAATAATATAGATCCACAATATAGTACAGTATACAGATATAGCGGTATTTTATCAATACACATTGGCGGCGGTGCTTAGCAATGACGCTTAATAGGTATAAACACTCAACAGAGTGCGGAGTTTGTGTACGGTAGGCGAGACAGCTGCTTTTTGCCAATACTGTTAGTTTTATGTAGAAATTGGTTTGTCTTTACTGTTTTTTTTTGTTACGTCAAGTAGCATATTATTTTGAAAACGGGGCCGTGTCGTTTTCCATGGGTTCTGCGGATTTCAAAAGTCTCGAAGATGAACTCTTAGACAACGTTGACAAAGACGTCCGTTACTGGCAGCAGAACGATGCCAAGATCAGAGCTGTGAAGAGCGTTTCCACGTACCAAGAATTCAGGTAGGACCGCAATACTTTTAATTGATATTTCGTTGAAGTACTCGAATTTACCGTTTGTCAACTGTCCAACCGTGTAGCGACATTGTCAAGGCAGCCCATCTAAGCCCGTTGGCCAAAAAGGACAAAATACGCAAAGACGGTTCGTCGTCGATTTGGAACAACGTAGTCTCCAACAACATGCAAGACACCACCAGACACTCTTCCGACATAGTAAGTACGACCAACTTGTGAAGTCTGTTCTAGACGATGACGCACTCACATTTTTCATTTGTTGTTTGGCTTAAGAATTATGATTCTTTGTGAAACAGGTAATAACGTCAATGATATGTTATATTGTCTTACTAGATCGCTACCAACAATGATGTTAAGGACAATATACCGAGTGCTTGTTCGCCGAAAGTACAAGAATTCATTGTGACTTTTCGACGCCTCAGTACGGCTAAACTGAGATACAAGTATTTAAGCTTACACGGCGCCGAACAAGTGGCCGGAACGTTTCACAGCGAAGAAATTCCACCTTCGGTTCTGGTCGAACTACTCGAGACACTTCTCATATTCCCGTCCAACAGCGTTCCCGACATAGTAGCCGTAACCAGACTCTTGGACGTTATTTCCGGAACGAAAAGGTTAACAATGTTAATTGTTGTTCGATAAGATTACTACAATATTGTTTTTATTCAATGAATAAAATGTGGATTTTGTTTTTCTTAGATTTGAACTTGCTATTGAGTTCTTGAGCTCTACAGAATTGGACACTTTATGCAATCTATTTGATAAATTGGAAGATAGCCTCAAATCGGGGCAACAAGATTTAGCCGAACAAGGTGTAACCGAGTGGAGTCTGTGCACTCTGAGGAAAAAATATAAAATATAATTATTAGAGCAAACTCTTTAAGTCTATATTACAGACTATTATATTATATGATATAGATAAATAAATAGTTCCCCTTTGAATTTTATCTATGGTGTACATATCCAAAAAAAATTACTACACAATTGAGTATACGCCTAGTGAGAAAATTAAATGATGATGATTTTCGTTCAAAACTAAATTCATTCTAAACTATGATGTATCAGTATTATTTCGTGGCAGATAAAAATTGTGGTGATATTAATTTGTTATTTGTCTTTATTCCTTTTTTTACTTTTATTATATTTTTTTTGTGAAAGACTGATTCCCAATGGCAATAATCTCGAGGTTACTTAAATACCTATGCTGGATTTTATTGTTGTATGATTAGTGGGCTTTAAATATTACGTTGACAAAAGTTTTTGTATTTGTTTTTTTTTTAAGTATTAATTTTTACACATGTGATTTACAAAATAAATTATTTATATCCATTACTTGACGTTTATATTTCATATCCAACTACACTATATATTTTTTTGTACTCACAAAGCGATTGTACTTAACGTGTAATTTAAATATATAATTAATTTCAATGGCCAATGTGGAATAATAGACGTCCTAGTAAAATAAACTCAGTTACAATGGAAGTGAAAATTTAAACTGGCAAAACCAATGTTGTGTTAACAGTGGAAACATTAGGTGTTGTTATCTCATAGAGTAAAAATATAAACTTCATAAATTTAAATAACCAAAGATTTGGACGACGTAATTGAAAGTGTTTTTAAAAAAAAGTAAACACTTACCAAATACGAACAATATTATTTAGTATTGTAGTTAAAATAGCAATTTTTTAACCAAGTAAATAAAATATTTTGCTTAAATAATTTTTATTTTCATACACAAGAATAAACTATTTTAGTTTAACAAAAAAGAAGAAATCAACTATCAAATGAATATTACAAAGTTATATAAACATAAAAATAAAACAATATATAAAGAACAGTCTTGTAAAATTAAAGTTTGTGTACAAACGATTTAACAATCTAACGATGATTGACTTTGACTATTGAAAATAAAAGCAATATTTTCAACTTTTGATATGTGAAAAAAAATTTAATTCTTATTAATCAGATTATTAGTTATATTTAAAAATAAAAGTTTTACAAGCCACGTTGAGATCATTATTAAAAATACAAATGTCGATCTACTAATCAATGTTGGTCAATCGAAATATTAATTAGTACAAAATGTATAGGCAACAAAATTTTAATTAGTATCAGAATTGTACGGAGAAGCTGTACTGGCACTGCCGCTTGATGAACTCTCAGGTTTTTGCGCAGTGTCTTCTTCATCTTTGGGTTTTTCTTCCTGAATACCTTAACAGAATTTACAATGTTAAGATAGTTTTCTTTATTATTGTATGTTTTTAATGATGGCTTAATTAAACGACAAAATGACAATTTCACTTAAGTCATTAGTATTTCAGGTATAAATTTACTTTTCTGACTAATGAAAAGGGTTTTTATTGTGATTGTTTCATGAATAAAGACTGCTCAATAACAACAAAGCAGAGGAAATTTAGTAATAATCAATAATTATAAATGATTTATGTTGTTTTTGAAAATAAAATATAAATAAAGTTTAGAAAAAGCTACTCAGTACCTAACCGTAACGGCAGTTCTCAAAGTTCAAGTAGCTATACAACTAATTATCTTTAGGAGTACGCGGATTTCTGACTTGATTCGATATCAATGTGGAAAAAATTTAACCACAAGAAATAGTGTCTGCTAAAGTAAACTTGTTAAGTCGTGTGTTATTGAACAAGTTAAACGAATTGTTAATTGTTTTTAAATTACTTTTTTGAAAGTCTGGATACTGAGCTATTAATTTTGTCTTAATATTAGTGATTCGCTTGAATGTATTGTCCAGATCTTTGCGCAAATCGTTGAGCACTTGAGTGTGTTTTTTGAATTCTTGACTGGTAGTTTTTAGACGACTTGATGCTAATGAATTGCAGTTGGACAACATCTCGTTAGTTTTTTCGAAACGCTGTAACCTAAACAGTTATGTTTTTAATATACAAACTCTCTTAGTCTTTATACCTACTCGTATTAACCGTACATACATTTCTTTTTGAGCGACTATCATCGATTCCACATCGTCTTGATTGACGATGCCGGCGATACCTTGGATAAACACTTCGGGTGCCGTGTAATTTTGAAAACATTCGATGCTGGGAGTTTCATCCAAATCGCTATTCTCGTCAGTCATTATTTTAAATTGTGTAATAATAATTGAATTTTTTTCAAGTGCACAACAGTTTGTCGTTCGTTTGAACTAAAAATGTCAAAAAGCCGGTAAATTAATTAAAATTTCACATGAATTAAAATTTTTTAAATACCGTATTGAATTATGCCAGAATATGTCTTGAGTCCATAGATATATTTGTACTTTTTTTTTTCCTTATCAAAGAGGTAGTCATTTATGTAGAAGGTCTTTGGGATAATATACCTCCTTGGAGTTGTATTATCAAAAATATTGTTATCATTATAGTAATATCTTTTGTGACCAAAGCGCTGTGGTTTGTTGTTGGCTCATGGCAGAGACTTAAAAGTGGCCGCCACTCGCCACTAAATGTCACTCGTTGAGTAGTGAACTACTCTATTTTGGCCGTTTAGATAGAAAATAATTTTGTTTTTCGAATTTCAGTGCGACAGTAAGTATTGTTTCTTAACGGTTTAATAATTATTATTACTCATTATTCGATAATTACAACTTGTTTGATTCTTCATAGCGCTTACAAGATGTCGTTATCGAAAACAACAAATACGTACAATCGACAAAATTGGGAAGATTCCGTGAGTATAGCTATAAATATACATAAGTATATTGTAGCTTTATAACATAAATTTTATTTACAATCGTTGCAGGTATATATTTTAATGTGTTAAAAAGTATGTCCTACTTTAACAATTTTAAGCGTTTACTGATAACAGCACTGTCGTTGTGTTGTGTACAAATAAATACTTTAAACGGTAGCAAACTTTAAATGTTTTAACGAAACATAGAAACTTTCAACATTGCATAATACTATTGTGAACAATATGTTATATTATAAGCTAATTTACAACGGTAGATTGTGATCTATGGCTTAACAATGTTTCCCTATTTTTAACATATTTGTAATGATTTAATGATCTAATCATAAAACAAATCTTATTTATTTATTCTGTAAATTTGTTTTAGGATTTTCCAATTGTGTGTGAAACATGTTTGGGGGACAGTCCATATTTACGAATGGTAAGTGCGTGGTTTATATTATGAAAATCAATGCTTTTATTTTTGTAATTTAAAACCATGTCTCTAATAAATAACCAAAATATATTATCCATCTTGTTTTTTTTTTTTGTTAATAATTGTTGAAAACCTTTATTATTTGTTTTAGACTAAGGAAAAATATGGTAAAGAATGTGAAGTGTGTGCGAGGCCGTTCACAGTGTTTCGTTGGTGTCCAGGAGCGAGAATGCGTTTTAAGAAAACTGAGATTTGTCAAACGTGTGCACGTCTCAGAAACGCTTGTCAAACATGTCTTTTGGATCTCGAATACGGATTACCATTACAAGTAAACTCAATTTGGTTATAGAAGAAACATTATCATAGTTGGACGAATAATTTGTATGTGGCATTTTCTTAAGGTTCGCGACGCAGCTTTAAAAATCAAAGAACAAATTCCCAAATCAGATGTGAACAAAGAATATTTTGTTCAGAACATGGAAGCCGAAGTGAGTCAACTATAAAGACATTTTATTATTATTTTTTACATTGGTATGTTCTTGTTTTAAAAGTTGGCCAAAATGGACGAAGCTGGTGGGAAATGTCAAAACGCTAGCGACGTACTAGCGAAAATGGCTCGTAAGGCACCATACTATGAACGTAACAGACCTCACATTTGTTCATTTTGGGTGAAAGGCGAATGCCGAAGAGGTGAAGAATGTCCATATCGACACGAAAGACCGACCGATCCGGAAGATCCTCTTTCGAACCAAAACTTCAAGGACAGGTATAATAATTAACTTATATGGTAAACTTGTATGACTTTTCGAGTACATAATTCATACCGTTGTTACAATTAGATACTACGGTGTCAATGATCCAGTGGCCGAAAAAATGATGAATAGAGCCAATGAAATGCCGAAACTTGAGAAACCCGAGGACCAAACAATTACGACGCTGTATGTGGGAAATCTAAACGATATCACAACAGAAAAAGATTTGAGGTAAAAACAGAATTCATACCTATTTTCTATTTTGACGTATAACTTATAAAATATTTATATTAATTAAAATTTTTAGGGACGTATTTTATCAGTATGGCGAAATACGTAGTATCACTCACGTGGCTCATCAGAATTGTGCTTTTATTCAGTACACAACTCGAGCTGCAGCCGAAATAGCCGCCGAGAGCACTTACGGTCGCTTGACTTTGGGAGGACAAAAATTAAACGTCCGATGGGGACACGCACAAGCGCGTAAGGACAAGGACGCCACTACTTCGGCCGCTGTGAAAGAAAACAAGATGAAGCCAGCGCCGGGGCTGCCAGCACCGCTGCCGCCATTACCTTCTGAACTGCAAAACAATTTTTTCAACATAGCGCCGCAACCAGTGACTGTTGTTCCTACCACACCGTTTATCCCGGTCATGCCTCCTTTACCTCATCCTGGTATGCAGTATGGTATGTCGTCCACGCCACTCTATCCTCCTGGAACTAGCAAACAATAAAAATGGCTCGCGTTCATTTTCAACCTCGGTCATTTAAGTACCATAATAATTTCTATTCGACTAAAATTGCAATTATATATTTATGAAATATAACCAGATTTTTTTTTTTTTTTACAACACTTGGTATTTTTATAATTTTGAAAATATTACAATTACAATAGTTTAAAAAGAATGTTTAACATTAGATGGAATAAATATACATTATATTCCTTTATATGTACGTATAAATTATTTATAATAATGTTTCCTACCCAGTACTATTTTGCCTTGTGTGTTGGAAAACTTCGGTTCACATAAGTATTATTTAATACAAAATTGTTTTTTACAAGTTACAAGTAAAATTACGTCCTCCAAAAAAAAAATTACCGAAAAAATCAGTTTTTATTCTTCCAGACTACGCTGACTTCCAAGTCGCGTAGTAAAAATTTAAATGACTTCACCATCGGGTTAAATATACATAATCAATGAATTGATACTTCTTATAATCTTATATAGTATGTACTTTTTTTTTTTAATTCAAATAATATGACAATAATTGCCTCATTGGAAGACTTAAATGACAAACACGTGTTAGTGTAAACTTACCCAACATTTAAAAAAAGTTTATAATTAGAATAAAAAGAAAACATTTAAATTATATCAGTAAATACAATGTATATTATTGCACCGAGAATTTATATTTTAAAAATAATAATGTATTAATTACTTAGAATTAACACAACTCAATAATATAATATATCCAAATCCAAAAAATATCATACTACTAAATAAAATAACTTGTATGTTTTAAAAATACCTTAAATTATTTTACCTTATACCATTGATTATAAATACTAGTATTTATAATTAATGCTTATACTATTTACAATTTTTCTTGAACACATTTTGAGCTTCAACCAAAAACATTTAATTGTCATTAAAAAATAAACAAAAACAAGACAGAACACCACATATCACCAAACATAATGTAACAAAGAAAAAAAAGTAGAAGAAAAGCGTTACTATTTAGATCAACTCAAATCGCTTTTTTGGAGAGCGTCATAATTAAAGAACCCTTGTCCGGGCAGTAGAGGTAAAAATTGCGAGGTATACCATAATTTGTATGTAAGAAACCAAGTAAGCATTGCAATCAAGCCGGCCAACAGCTTTTCGGGCATTTTATGGAAATACATCATTGTCGTCAAAAGCATCAGCTCCCAAATTGCAACAAATATCGCAATGACAATGAAAACAAATTTCACATAAGGTGTCATCTGTTTGTAGGCGATTTTAAGAGTATTTAAATCGTTCTCATTGAGATAATTGAGTTTGGCCTTTTTGCCCGTCTGCCTCGCGTTGTCTTCAGCGATTATTGCATCTTGTATTTTGTCCCAGCCAATTATTGGCCTTGCTTCGCTAATCATTACGAGTATGCTGTAAATCAATATGAACACATGGCCGGAGATGTCAAATGATTGCCAGACTTTGCCAGCTTTTCTGCATTCAATTCTTTTGAGTCCTTTTTCCGAACATGTTCCGTATGAATCGTCCAGACAATTGAACATTTTTGTCCAAAAGTACCAGAAGAACGTAGCAACGACAAGGCGAGAGACGTGCTTGGCAATTTTTTGTCTGGAGTCCGTGTAAAACACTTTGCACGTTGTCACCATGAAAGACGCCGTCAATAACGTAGTCCAGAACCATCCGAGTTTCACAAAGTATTGGTTGAGGAACGTTGAACTGTCGGCAAAATATATCTTGGGTACATTGACGTAGTCTCCTACGATCGAAGAAACCAACAGGACGAAATAAACAAACAGCCGTTTCTGCGTCGAGAAGAACAAATATTTTCTACAGCCAAACAAAATAACCGTAAGGAGAGTGTCGAAAATTGTCGTTGGTTCCCGTACAAGTTTTGTACCTTTGCTTCCAGATCTAAAATTCAAACTTGAACTGGGTAAATAATTCGATTCAATCGAACTCGAACGCATTCTTCTGGATGCCATTGTCCATAAGATTTGTAAACTTCCGAGAATAATTGATCAATTAATCCGCTACCATTAGTGTAATCGAGTCGATATAAATGTATAATTTAAAATTTAAGGAAAACTTAAGAATTATTACAACGAAAATAGTAATTCAGAATTGTTCTGTGGTAATTATTAGCATTTAGCATGTCCCGTTAATTAACTTTCACAATTTGGGGTTATCATCTGTTATCGTCCACTTGTCATGATAACCTTATCAGGTAATATCACATCTCAAAAGCAGAAGGGTCACTTTCAGTGTAAACAAAAAAGTGACGACCATTTTGTAAGACCTGTTTAGTAGCACCACAGATTATATGATATAGTTATTGAAGTTTCAAGTTTAGGGAGGTAAGGTGCAGTGTAGTATTATTTTTATCTGCGCGCATTTACTAACCGCACTTCCCCACCCGTCCTAGCTTTTAAACAGTTTTAACTTTAAAAATAATTATCCAAAACTGGTTATTATACTATTTAAGGAACCAATTTAAATAACAGCTATGGTAACACAATTGTTCTATCTCGAGAACTACTTTAATAATTAATTCATACAATACAAAAGAATAGCGAATAACGATACAAAACAATAAGACAGTATCTACCGCACACATACACACCTGGGTATCTCCCTCTTTGATAACACATATCACTACATGTATAACAATATATAACACTTCTCCCTTTTTAAATTAAAGATTATTTTATCAACTTACACTAGTCAATAACATCTTTAACAAGTACAAAAAAAAAATATACAAAATAATAACTTAACATAACTACATTAATTTAAACATATTTCTTTTTATCATTATAACTCGGTTACCCCATAGTAAACATTTACCCTCAACGCTCAACTCAAATCTTCTCTTGAAATATAGCTTGAACTCCTCACCAACAGACGAGTTTGGCCAGCCATGGCGTACCATATCAATTATCTTTAATAACAACAGATCCTTTTCAGTTTCATTTCCTACATCATCAACTAAGAGTGGTAGTTCTTTAATCTCAGAAAAAGAGTTTATGTCTTCCAGACTTTCCTCGGTTTCCGACTCCTCTGTTCCCTCAATTGGTACTCTAGACAATCCATCAGCATTTGCAATTTCACTACCTTTTTTATAACAGATATTATATTTATATGCTGATAGAATAATTGCATATCTCTCATGTGTTGCTTATCCTTTTTTAATAATTGATAAAGGACATGAAGTTCAGTAGATAACTGCGGTAAAAACTTCGAATAATAATTTATAAGCCCTAAGTAAGCTTTAAGTTCCGTGAAATTTTTTGGAATCTTTGCTTTTTTTGTAGCTTCAATTTTATCCTTTAACGGTTCTGTCTGGTTTTCACCAAAATTATGACCTAAAAATTCTACATTATTTAAAAAAAAAAAACGCATTTATCTACATGTACTCTAATGTTATATTTATTAAGTTTCTCTAAAACAAATCGAACATTTGACATACATTCTTCAAAATCCTTTCCTCTTATTATCACATCATCAATGTACACACTTACTCTTCTCATATTCCCTAACACTTTTTCCATTGAACATTGAAAAATTGCTGGTGCACTGGAGACACCATATGGAAGCCTAGTAGAATTAAATAAACCTTTGTGCGTATTTATAGTCAAGAGTTGTTGAGATTTACTATGTATAGGTAGCTGTAAGTAAGCATTACTTAAATCTAATACTGTATATTTTTTGACCCAGACAAATTATAAAATACATCATCAAGAGTGGGTAAGGGGTACTGATCAGTTTTCTAGTTAGGGTTTAATGTCTTTTTAAAATCTACACAAATTCTAATTCCTCCATTTTTTTTTTGGTAATATCACTATAGGGCTTGCAATCTCACTGTGTTTTTTTGGTACTAAGATCCCTTCTTCTACCATCTTATCTAATTTTTGACTGACTGCCTCTTTAATAGCATATGGTTTATGAAAGTATAAACTAGCATAATCCTTCAACACCAACGATGCTTCTAACCCTTTTATGCCCTCACTCCTATCCTTCGAAAACCCTCTAGGAAACTCTTTAGTAAAACAATCAATATAATTTTCATTACACAGTGCATGTACTTCTACCACTTCACATTTTTTAAATATTTTTTCCCAGTTTGGAACTAATACAAATAACCAATCCCTACCCAAAAGGGGTTTAAATATCCTTTTGCTACAATCAATTTTAGTTTAACTACACCTTTATTTGTCTTAACATGGACTATTGTTTCACCTACCACTTTTAACATATCACCAGATACACATTTTAACTTTTTTTTACAATTGTTAAGTTTAAGGTTACTAAAATATTTTCAATAAGAATTGAATGACATTATGGTTACCGATGCACCTGTATCTAATTCCATTTCAATAATTTTACTATTAACATTGATTTTTACAAACATAGGGTTATTCCTTTTAGTATTAACAACATTTATTTCTGCAATACCTCCTAAATAATTACTTATTACCTGGATGTCTTCCGATTCTTCTTCCACGCTGCTTACCCCAACTATCTTGGTACAGCAAACTGCAGATGGATGACCCATTCTATGGCACTTAAAACACTCCCAATCTTTCGCAGGGCAATTATCGACATGATGATTTCTTCCACAACGAAAACATGATCCCATAATACCTTTTTTTTCCAACTTTCTTGTTCTTGTCCCTCTTCTGAACCGTTACACCCTTTATTTCCTTGTTGTTTTGAAACTAACGTAGATAACCACAACCGTGGTAACCTTGGTAACCAAACTTTTGGTAACCTAAATAACCATAACCGTGCTAACCTTAATAACCACAACATTGGCAACCAAGGTAACCCAAACTGTGGTAACTTAGGTAACCATTACCGTGGTAACCTTGGTAACTAAACTTCTGGTAACCTAAGTAATCATAACCGTGGTACATTTGTAATAATAATGGTGGTAACCTTAGTAACAGCAACCATGGTAACCTAGGTAAAAAAAAACCATGGTGACCTAAGTTACCACAATTGTGGTAACCTAGGTAAACACAACCGTGGTAACCTCGGTAACCACAACTGTGGTAACCTTAGATACCATAACCGTGGTAACCTTGGCAACCAAACTTCTTGTCACCTGAGTTACCACAACCGTGAAAACCTATGTTTTCATCTTTGTGGTAACCTTAGTAACCACAACCATGGTAACCAAGGTAACCAAAACTGTAACAACCTTAGTTACCATAACCGTGGTAACCTGTTAACCATAACCGTGGTAAACTCGGTAACCACAACTATGGTAACCTATGTTATCATATTTGTGGTAACTCTAGTAACCACAACCATGGTAACCATGGTAACCTATGTTATCACCTTTGTGGTAACCTTAGTAACCACAACCATGGTAACCTAGGTAACCTAAATTGTGGTAACCTTAGTACCCACAACCATGGTAACCTAAGTAACCACAACTGTGGTAACATCGGTAACCAATACCGTGGTAACCTAGGTAACCACAACTGTGGTAACCTAGGTAACCACAACTATGGTAACATCGGTAACCAATACCGTGGTAACCAAAGTTTTGGTAAGCTAGGTAACCACAACTATGGTTCTTCATGGTACAGCCCTATGTGTGTAGAATTTTTGGAAAAAAAAAATCAGGTTTTTGAAAATTTTGAGCTAGGTCGAAATTTTGGTTTTTTCAAAATTTTGACAATTTAAATCAAACAAATGGGCAATTTGACCATAAATTCTGATTGCTGGCAAAATTCTATTGAGTTTGGTTTAGCTTAGAGCGGATTAGTGCAGAAATGTAGAATTTATGTAGGTTTTAGTGTGTTTTTGTGTTGGACATACCTTGGGTAAACCTAGGTTATTCTTCCTATATAAAAATATTTGTACAATCAACACACATGTATAGGTTAAAAGGAAACCTGAGACATTTGTGAATCTTTTAAGCCACAGTACAGCCATATTGGTGTTGTATTTTTGGAAAAAAATTCAATTTATTGACAATTTGAAGCTAGGTCGAAACTTTGGTTTTTTCAAAATTTTGACAATTTAAATCACACAAATCGGCAATTTGACTATATATTCTGATTGCTGACAAAATTCATGGTAACCTAGGTAACCACAACCATGGTAACCTAGGTAACGTACAACCACGGTAACCTAAGGTTACCACAACCATGGCAACCTAGGTTACCACAACCATGGTAACCTAGGTAACCACAACCAAGGTAACCTAGGTAGCAACAATTACGGTAACCTAGGTAACCACAACCACGGTAACCTAGGTTACCACAACTATGGTAACCTGGGTAACCACAACCATGGTAACCTCAGTAACGACAACTGTGGTAACCTTATTAACCACAACCATAAAAACTTAGATAACCACAACCATGGTAACCTTACAAACTCAACTGTGGTAACCTCGGTAACCACAACCATCGTAACCTAGATAACCACAACCATGATAACCTGGGTAACCACAACCATGGTAACCTCAGTAACGACAACTGTGGTAACCTTATTAACCACAACCATAGTAACTTAGATAACCACAACCATGGTTCTTCATAGTACAGCCCAATTAGTGGGATATTTTTGTAAAAAAATTCAGTTTTTTTGAAATTTTTGAGTTGGGTCTAAATGGGCAAGTTTAAGAATGAGGTCAAAGTCGATGTCATTGTTAAGGATGAAGTCAAGGAAAAGGTCATAAATGAGTTCAAAGTCGAGGTATAGGTAGAAGTTGAGGTCAAGAATGAGGTCAAAGTCGAGATAGAGGTCAAAGTCAAGGTCAAGGCTGAGTTCGAGGTCAAAGTCAAGGTCAAGGTGTAGTTCGAGGTCAAAGTCAAGGTTAGGAAGAGGTCAAGGATAAAGTCAAGGTCAAGTAGAGGTCAAGGTGAAGAATGTGGTCAAAGTCGGGGAAGAGGTCAAAAACAAGGTCGAGGTGAATGTTAACGATGAAGTCAAGGTGAAGAATGAGGTCAAAGTCGGAGTAGTGGTCAAAGTCAAGGTCAAGTTAGATGTCAAGGTCAGAATGAGGTCAAAATCGAGGTAGAGGTCAAGGTCAAGGCTTGTTCAAAGAAAATTCAGGTTAAGAAAGAGGTCAGTTTATTTCAAAATTTCGACAATTTTAATCAAACAAATCGGCAATTTGACCATATATTCTGATTGCTGACAAAATTCTCTTGAGTTTGGTCTAGGTTTGAGCGGATTTAGGTGCAGAAATGTAGAATTTATGTAGGTTTTAGTGTGTTTTTGTGTTGTTCATACCTTGGGTAAACCTAGGTTTTTCTTCCTATACACAAATATATGTACAATCAACACATATGTATAGGTTAAAAGGCAAGCTGAGTCATTTGTGAATCTTTTAAGCCACAGTAGACCCATTTTGGATATGTATTTTTGGAAAAAAATTCAGTTTTTTAAAAATTTTGACCTAGGTCGAAATTTTGGTTTTTTCATCATTTCGACCATTTTAATCACTCAAATCGGCAATTTGACCATATATTCTGAATGCTGACAAAATTCTCTTGAGTTTGGTCTAGGTTTGAGCGAATTTGGTGCAGAAATGTAGAATTTATGTAGGTTTTAGTGTGTTTTTGTGTTGTTTATACCTTGGGTAAACCTAGGTTTTTCTTCCTATACAAAAATATATGTACAATCAACACATATGTATAGGTTAAAAGGCAAGCTGAGACATTTGTGAATCTTTTAAGCCACAGTAAAGCCATATTGGTAGGTATTTTTGGAATAAAATTCAGTTTTTTGAAAATTTTGAGCTAGGTCGAAATTTTGGTTTTTTCAAAATTTGACAATTTTAATCACACAAATCGGCAATTTGACCATATATTCTGATTGTTGACAAAATTCATGGTAACCTAGATAACCACAACCATGGTAACCTAGGTAATCACAACCACGGTAACCTAGGTTACCACAACCATGGTAACCTAGATAACCACAACCATGGTTACCTAGGTTAACCCAACCACGGTAACCTAGGTTACCACAACCATGGTATCCTAGGTTACCACAACCATGGTAACCTATGTAACCACAACCACGGTAACCTTGGTAACCACAACCACGTGAATCTTGGTAACCACAACCAAGGTAACCTAGGTTACCACAACCATGGTAACCTAGGTTATCATAATCAAGGTAATATAGGTTATTACAACCAAGGTCACCTATGTAACCACAACCATGGTAACCCAGGTAACCACAACCACAGTTACCTAGGATACCACAACCATTGTATCTTAGGTAACCACAACCATGGTAACCTAGGTCACCACAACCATGGTAACCTAGGTTACCACAACCAAGGATAAGTTCATAAATGAGTTCAAAGTCAAGGTCGAGTTACAGGTCAAGGTCAAGAACGAGGTCAAAATCGGAGAAGAGGTCAAAAACCAGTTCGAGGTTAATATTGAAGATGAAGTTAAGGGGAAAATAAGGTCAAAGTCGAAGTAGTGGTCAAATTCTAGGTCAAGTTAGATGCCAAGGTCAAGAATGAGGTCAAAAAGGTGAAGGCTGGGTTCGAGGTCAAAGTCAAGGTCAAGTAAGAGGTAAAGGTAAAAAATGAGGTCAATGTCGGAAAAAGGTCAAAGTTAAGGTTGAGTTAGAGGTCAAGGTCAAGTTAGAGGTCAAGGTCAAGAATAAGGTCAAAGTCAGGATTGAGGTCAAAGTCAAGGTCAAGTTCGAGGTCAAGGTCAAGAATGAGGCCAAAGTCAAGATAGAGGTCAAAGTCAAAGTCAAGTTAGAGTTCAAGGTCTAGAAGGAGGCCAAAACAAGATAGAGGTCAAAGTCAAGGTGAAGGCTGGGTTCGAGGTCAAAGCCAAGGTCATGTAAGAGGTCAAAGTCGGGATAGAGGTCAAAGTCAAGGTCAAGTTGGAGGTCAAGGTCAAGAATGAGGTCAAAGTCGGGATAGAGGTCAAAGTCAAGGTCAACTTAGTGGTCAAGGTCAAGAATGAGGTCAAAGTCAGGACAGAGGTCAAAGCCAAGGTCAAGTAAGAGGTCAATGTCGGGATAGAGGTCAAAGTTAAGATCGAGTTAGACGTCAAGGTTAAAAATGAGGTCAAAGTCGGGACAGAGGTCAAACCAAGGTCATAAATGAGGTCAAAGTCGGGGTAGAGGTCAAAGTCAAGGTCAAGTTAGAGGTCAAGGTCAAGAATGAGGTCAAATTCGGGGTAGAGATAAAAGTAAAGGTTGAGTTAGAGGTCAAAGTCCAGGTCAAGGCTATGTTCGAGGTCAAAGCTAAGGTCGAGTTAGAGGTCAAGGTCAAGAATGAGGTCAAAGTCGGGACAGAGGTCAAAGCCAGGGTCAAGTAAGAGGTCAAAGTCGGGATAGAGGTCAAAGTCAAGGTCAAGAATGTGGTCGAGTTCAAAGTCAAGGTTAAGATAGAGGTCAGTTTTTTGAAAATTTTGAGCTTGGTCGAAATTTTGGTTTTTTCAAAATTTTGACAATTTTAATCACACAAATCGGCAATTTGACCATATATTCTGATTGCTGACAAAATTCTCTTGAGTTTGGTCTAGGTTTGAGCGGATTTAGTGCAGAAATGTAGAATTTATGTAGGTTTTAGTGTGTTTTTGTGTTGTTCATACCTTGGGTAAACCTAGGTTTTTCTTCCTATACACAAATATATGTACAATCAACACATATGTATAGGTTAAAAGGCAAGCTGAGTCATTTGTGAATCTTTTAAGCCACAGTAGAGCCATATTGGTTGGGTATTTTTGGCAAAAAAATTCAGTTTTTTGTAAATTTTGAGCTAGGTCGAAATTTTTGTTTTTTCATCATTTCGACCATTTAAATCACACAAATCGGCAATTTGACCATATATTCTGAATGCTGACAAAATTCTCTTGAGTTTGGTCTAGGTTTGAGCGAATTTGGTGCAGAAATGTAGAATTTATGTAGGTTTTAGTGTGTTTTTGTGTTGTTTATACCTTGGGTAAACCTAGGTTTTGCTTCCTATAGAAAAATATATGTACAATCAACACATATGTATAGGTTGAAAGGCAAGCTGAGTCATTTGTGAATCTTTTAAGCCACAGTAATGCCATATTGGTTGGGTATTTTTGGAAAAAAATTCAGTTTTTTGAAAATTTTGAGCTAGGTCGAAATTTTGGTTTTTTCACAATTTTGACCATTTAAATCACACAAATCGGCAATTTGACCATATATTCTGATTGTTGACAAAATTCATGGTAACCTAGATAACCACAACCATGGTAACCTAGGTAATCACAACCACGGTAACCTAGGTTACCACAACTATGGTAACCTAGGTAACCACAACCATGGTTACCTAGGTTACCACAACCATGGTAACCTAGGTTACCACAACCATGGTATCCTAGGTTACCACAACCATGGTAACCTATGTAACCACAACCACGGTAACCTTGGTAACCACAACCACGGTGAATCTTGGTAACCACAACCACAGGTAACCTAGGTTACCACAACAATGGTAACCTAGGTTATTACAATCAAGGTAATATAGGTTATCACAACCATGGTCACCTATGTAACCACAACCATGGTAACCCAGGTAACCACAACCACAGTAACCTAGGTTACCACAACCATTGTATCTTAGGTAACCACAACCATGGTAACCTACGTCACCACAACCATGGTAACCTAGGTTACCACAACCAAGGATAAGTTCATAAATGAGTTCAAAGTCAAGGTCGAGTTACAGGTCAAGGTCAAGAACGAGGTCAAAATCGGAGAATAGGTCAAAAACCAGTTCGAGGTTAATATTGAAGATGAAGTTAAGGGGAAAAAAGGTCAAAGTCGAAGTAGTGGTCAAATTCTAGGTCAAGTTAGATGCCAAGGTCAAGAATGAGGTCAAAAAGGTGAAGCTGGGTTCGAGGTCAAAGTCAAGGTCAAGTAAGAGGTAAAGGTAAAAAATGAGGTCAATGTCGGGATAAAGGTCAAAGTTAAGGTTGAGTTAGAGGTCAAGGTCAAGTTAGAGGTCAAGGTCAAGAATGAGGTCAAAGTCAAGATTGAGGTCAAAGTCAAGGTCAAGTTCGAGGTCAAGGTCAAGAATGAGGCCAAAGTCAAGATAGAGGTCAAAGTCAAAGTCAAGTTAGAGTTCAAGGTCTAGAAGGAGGCCAAAGTCGAGATAGAGGTCAAAGTCAAGGTGAAGGCTGGGTTCGAGGTCAAAGCCAAGGTCATGTAAGAGGTCAAAGTCGGGATAGAGGTCAAAGTCAAGGTCAAGTTGGAGGTCAAGGTCAAGAATGAGGTCAAAGTCGGGATAGAGGTCAAAGTCAAGGTCAACTTAGTGGTCAAGGTCAAGAATGAGGTCAAAGTCAGGACAGAGGTCAAAGCCAAGGTCAAGTAAGAGGTCAATGTCGGGATAGAGGTCAAAGTTAAGATCGAGTTAGACGTCAAGGTTAAAAATGAGGTCAAAGTCGGGACAGAGGTCAAAGCCAAGGTCAAAATGAGGTCAAAGTCGGGGTAGAGGTCAAAGTCAAGGTCAAGTTAGAGGTCAAGGTCAAGAATGAGGTCAAATTCGGGTAGAGTAAAGTAAAGGTTGAGTTAGAGGTCAAGCCAGTCAAGGTATGTTCGAGGTCAAAGCTAAGGTCGAGTTAGAGGTCAAGGTCAAGAATGAGGTCAAAGTCGGGACAGAGGTCAAAGCCAGGGTCAAGTAAGAGGTCAAAGTCGGGATAGAGGTCAAAGTCAAGGTCAAGAATGTGGTCGAGTTCAAAGTCAAGGTTAAGATAGAGGTCAGTTTTTTGAAAATTTTGAGCTAGGTCGAAATTTTGGTTTTTTCATCATTTCGACCATTTTAATCACACAAATCGGCAATTTGACCATATATTCTGATTGCTGACAAAATTCTCTTGAGTTTGGTCTAGGTTTGAGCGGATTTAGTGCAGAAATGTAGAATTTATGTAGGTTTTAGTGTGTTTTTGTGTTGTTCATACCTTGGGTAAACCTAGGTTTTTCTTCCTATACACAAATATATGTACAATCAACACATATGTATAGGTTAAAAGGCAAGCTGAGTCATTTGTGAATCTTTTAAGCCACAGTAGAGCCATATTGGTTGGGTATTTTTGGCAAAAAAATTCAGTTTTTTGTAAATTTTGAGCTAGGTCGAAATTTTTGTTTTTTCATCATTTCGACCATTTAAATCACTCAAATCGGCAATTTGACCATATATTCTGAATGCTGACAAAATTCTCTTGAGTTTGGTCTAGGTTTGAGCGAATTTGGTGCAGAAATGTAGAATTTATGTAGGTTTTAGTGTGTTTTTGTGTTGTTTATACCTTGGGTAAACCTAGGTTTTTCTTCCTATACACAAATATATGTACAATCAACACATATGTATAGGTTAAAAGGCAAGCTGAGTCATTTGTGAATCTTTTAAGCCACAGTAGAGCCATATTGGTTGGGTATTTTTGGAAAAAAATTCAGTTTTTTGAAAATTTTGAGCTAGGTCGAAATTTTGGTTTTTTCATCATTTCGACCATTTAAATCACTCAAATCGGCAATTTGACCATATATTCTGATTGCTCGACAAAATCATGGTAACCTAGATAACCACAACCATGGTAACCTAGGTAATCACAACCACGGTAACCTAGGTTACTACAACCATGGTAACCTAGGTAATATCAACCATGGTAACCTATGTAACCACAACTATGGTAACCTAGATAACCACAACCATGGTTACCTAGGTTACCACAACCATGGTATCCTAGGTTACCACAACCATGGTAACCTAGGTTACCACATTCATGGTAACCTAGGTTACCACAACCATGGTATCCTAAGTTACCACAACCATGGTAACCTAGGTTACCACAACCATGGTAACCTAGGTTACCACAACCACGGTAACCTAGGTAACCACAACCATGGTTACCTATGTAACCACAACCACGGTAACCTTGGTTACCACAACCACGGTTACCTTGGTTACCACAACCACAGTAACCTAGGTTACCACAACCATGGTAACCTAGGTTATTACAACCGAGGTCACCTATGTAACCACAACCATGGTAACCTAGATAACCACAACCATGGTAACCCAGGTAACCACAACCACAGTAACCTAGGTTACCACAACCATTGTATCCTAGGTAACCACAACCATGGTAACCTAGGTCACCACAAACATGGTAACCTAGATAACCACAAACATGGTAACCTAGGTAACTACAACCACGGTAACCTAGGTTACCACAACCAAGGATAAGTTCATAAATGAGTTCAAAGTCAAGGTCGAGTTACAGGTCAAGGTCAAGAACAAGGTCAAAATCGGAGAATAGGTTATAACAAGGTCGAGGTCAATATTAAAGATGAAGTCAAGGGGAAAATGAGGTCAAAGTCGAAGTAGAGGTCAAAGTCAAAGTCGAGTTAGAGTCAAGGTCTAGTAGACCAAAGTCGATGTCAGGTCACAAGTCAAGGTCAAGGCAAGTTGAGGTCAAGGTCATTGAGGTCAAAGTCAAGGTCAAGTTAGGGTCAAGGTCAAGAATGAGGTCAAAGTCTGGACAGAGGTCAAAGCCAAGGTCAAGTAAGAGGTCAAGTCAGAATGAGGTCAAATCGGTAAGGTCAAAGTCAAGGTCAAGTAAGGCTCAAGGTCAAGAATGAGGTCAAAGTCGGGTAGAGGTCAAAGTCAAGGTCAAGTTAGAGGTCAAGGTCAACAATGAGGTCAACAGTCATGGTAGACTCAAATCATAGGTACAATTAGACAATCATGTATAGGTCAAAGGCAAGCTGAGTCATAGTGAAGCTCAAGCAAGTAGACCAGTTGGATAGTATTTTTGGAAAAAAATTCAGTTTTTTGTAAATTTTGAGCTAGGTCGAAATTTTGGTTTTTTCATCATTTCGACCATTTTAATCACTCAAATCGGCAATTTGACCATATATTCTGAAAGCTGACAAAATTCTCTTGAGTTTGGTCTAGGTTTGAGCGAATTTGGTGCAGAAATGTAGAATTTATGTAGGTTTTAGTGTGTTTTTGTGTTGTTTATACCTTGGGTAAACCTAGGTTTTTCTTCCTATACACAAATATATGTACAATCAACACATATGTATAGGTTAAAAGGCAAGCTGAGTCATTTGTGAATCTTTTAAGCCACAGTAGAGCCATATTGGTTGGTATTTTTGGCAAAAAAATTCAGTTTTTTGTAAATTTTGAGCTAGGTCGAAATTTTGGTTTTTTCATCATTTCGACCATTTAAATCACTCAAATCGGCAATTTGACCATATATTCTGAATGCTGACAAAATTCTCTTGAGTTTGGTCTAGGTTTGAGCGAATTTGGTGCAGAAATGTAGAATTTATGTAGGTTTTAGTGTGTTTTTGTGTTGTTCATACCTTGGGTAAACCTAGGTTTTTCTTCCTATACACAAATATATGTACAATCAACACATATGTATAGGTTAAAAGGCAAGCTGAGTCATTTGTGAATCTTTTAAGCCACAGTAGAGCCATTTTGGTTGGGTATTTTTGGCAAAAAAATTCAGTTTTTTGAAAATTTTGAGCTAGGTCGAAATTTTGGTTTTTTCATCATTTCGACCATTTAAATCACTCAAATCGGCAATTTGACCATATATTCTGATTGCTCGACAAAATCATGGTAACCTAGATAACCACAATCATGGTAACCTAGGTAATCACAACCATGGTAACCTAGGTTACTACAACCATGGTAACCTAGGTTACCACAACCACGGTAACCTAGGTTACCACAACCATGGTAACCTAGGTAACCACAACCATGGTAACCTATGTAACCACAACCATGGTAACCTAGGTTACCACAACCATCGGTAACCTTGGTAACCACAACCACGGTAACCTAGGTTACCACAACCATGGTAACCTAGGTTACCACAACCATGGTAACCTATGTAACCACAACCATGGTAACCTAGATAACCACAACCATGGTAACCTAGGTCACCACAACCATGGTAACCTAGGTAACCACAACCATGGTAACCTATGTAACCACAACCATGGTAACCTTGGTTACCACAACCATGGTAACCTTGGTAACCACAACCACAGTAACCTAGGTTACCACAACCATGGTAACCTAGGTTATTACAACCAAGGTCACCTATGTAACCACAACCATGGTAACCTAGATGACCACAACCATGGTAACCCAGGTAACCACAACCACAGTAACCTAGGTTACCACAACCATTGTATCCTAGGTTACCACAACCATGGTAACCTAGGTCACCACAAACATGGTAACCTAGATAACCACAAACATGGTAACCTAGGTAACCACAACCACGGTAACCTAGGTTACCACAACCAAGGATAAGTTCATAAATGAGTTCAAAGTCAAGGTCAAGGTCAGAAACGAGGTCAAAATCGGAGAATAGGTCATACACAAGGTCGGGTCAATATTAAAGATGAAGTCAAGGGGAAAATGAGGTCAAAGTCGACGTAGAGGTCAAAGTCACAGTCGAGTTAGAGGTCAAGGTCTAGAAGGAGGCCAAAGTCGAGGTCGAGGTCAAAGTCATGGTCAAGTTAGAGGTCAAGGTCATAAATGAGGTCAAAGTCGGGGTAGAGGTCAAAGTCAAGGTCAAGTTAGAGGTCAAGGTCAAGAATGAGGTCAAAGTCGGGATAGAGGTCAAAGTCAAGGTCAAGTAAGGGGTCAAGGTCAAGAATGAGGTCAAAGTCAGGACAGAGGTCAAAGCCAAGGTCAAGTAAGTAGGTCAAAATCGGGATAGAGGTCAAAGTTAAGTTCGGGTTAGAGGTCAAGGTCATGAATGAGGTCAAAGTCAGGTAGAGGTCAAAGTCAAGGTCAAGGTCAAGTTAGAGGTCAAGGTCATAAATGAGGTCAAAGTCAAGGTCAAGTAAGTGGGTCAAGGTCAAGAATGAGATTCAAAGTCGGACAGAGGTCAAAGCCAAGGTCAAGTAAGAGGTTAAAGTCGGATAGAGGTCAAAGTTAAGTTCGAGTTAGTAGGTCAATTGGTCAAGAATGAGGTCAAAGTCAGGGTAGAGGTCAAAGTCAAGGTCAAGTTAGAGGTCACAGGTCAAGAATGAGGTCCAAAGTCAGGGTAGAGGTCAAAGTCAAGGTCAAGAATGTGGTCGAGTTCAAAGTCAAGGTTAAGATAGAGGTCAGTTTTTTGTAAATTTTGAGCTAGGTCGAAATTTTGGTTTTTTCATCATTTCGACCATTTAAATCACTCAAATCGGCAATTTGACCATATATTCTGAATGCTGACAAAATTCTCTTGAGTTTAGACTAGGTTTGATCGAATTTGGTGAAGAATTGTAGAATTTATGTAGGTTTTAGTGTGTTTTTGTGTTGTTCATACCTTGGGTAAACCTAGGTTTTTCTTCCTATACACAAATATATGTACAATTAACACATATGTATAGGTTAAAAGGCAAGCTGAGTCATTTGTGAATCTTTTAAGCCACAGTAGAGCCATTTTGGATATGTATTTTTGGAAAAAAATTCAGTTTTTTGAAAATTTTGACCTAGGTCGAAATTTTGGTTTTTTCATCATTTCGACCATTTTAATCACTCAAATCGGCAATTTGACCATATATTCTGACTGCTGACAAAATTCATGGTAACCTAGATAACCACAACCATGGTAACCTAGGTAATCACAACCACGGTAACCTAGGTTACTACAACCATGGTAACCTAGGTAATATCAACCATGGTAACCTATGTAACCACAACTATGGTAACCTAGATAACCACAACCATGGTTACCTAAGTTACCACAACCATGGTATCCTAGGTTACCACAACCATGGTAACCTAGGTTACCACATTCATGGTAACCTAGGTTACCACAACCATGGTAACCTAAGTTACCACAACCATGGTAACCTAGATTAACACAACCATGGTAACCTAGGTTACCACAACCATGGTAACCTAGGTAACCACAACCATGGTAACCTATGTAACCACAACCATGGTAACCTTGGTTACCACAACCACGGTTACCTTGGTTACCACAACCATAGTAACCTAGGTTACCACAACCATGGTAACCTAGGTTATTACAACCGAGGTCACCTATGAAACCACAACCATGGTAACCTAGATAACCACAACCATGGTAACCTAGGTAACCACAACCACAGTAACCTAGGTTACCACAACCATTGTATCTAGGTAAAACCTGACCTAGGTCCAAACATGGTAACCTAGATCACAACATGTAATATACTCAAACGGAATTTGACCATAATTCTAAATGACAAATTCTCGAGTTAAGCTAGGTTTGAACAAGGTCAAAATCGTAGAATTTATGTAGGTCGTGGTTTTAGTGAGTCAAGGGTAAACTAGGTTTTCTTCCTATACACAAATATAGTACAATTAACACAATGTATAGGAAAAGGCAAGCTGAGTCATTTGTGAATCTTTTAAGCCACAGTAGACCCATTTTGGATATGTATTTTTGGAAAAAAATTCAGTTTTTTAAAAATTTTGACCTAGGTCGAAATTTTGGTATTTTTCATCATTTCGACCATTTTAATAACTCAAATCGGCAATTTGACCATATATTCTGAAAGCTGACAAAATTCTCTTGAATTTAGACTAGGTTTGATCGAATTTGGTGAAGAATTGTAGAATTTATGTAGGTTTTAGTGTGTTTTTGTGTTGTTCATACCTTGGGTAAACCTAGGTTTTTCTTCCTATACACAAATATATGTACAATTAACACATATGTATAGGTTAAAAGGCAAGCTGAGTCATTTGTGAATCTTTTAAGCCACAGTAGACCCATTTTGGATATGTATTTTTGGAAAAAAATTCAGTTTTTTAAAAATTTTGACCTAGGTCGAAATTTTGGATTTTTCATCATTTCGACCATTTAAATCACTCAAATCGGCAATTTGACCATATATTCTGAAAGCTGACAAAATTCTCTTGAGTTTAGACTAGGTTTGATCGAATTTGGTGAAGAATTGTAGAATTTATGTAGGTTTTAGTGTGTTTTTGTGTTGTTCATACCTTGGGTAAACCTAGGTTTTTCTTCCTATACACAAATATATGTACAATTAACACATATGTATAGGTTAAAAGGCAAGCTGAGTCATTTGTGAATCTTTTAAGCCACAGTAGACCCATTTTGGATATGTATTTTTGGAAAAAAATTCAGTTTTTTGAAAATTTTGACCTAGGTCGAAATTTTGGTTTTTTCATCATTTCGACCATTTTAATCACTCAAATCGGCAATTTGACCATATATTCTGAAAGCTGACAAAATTCTCTTGAGTTTAGACTAGGTTTGATCGAATTTGGTGAAGAATTGTAGAATTTATGTAGGTTTTAGTGTGTTTTTGTGTTGTTCATACCTTGGGTAAACCTAGGTTTTTCTTCCTATACACAAATATATGTACAATTAACACATATGTATAGGTTAAAAGGCAAGCTGAGTCATTTGTGAATCTTTTAAGCCACAGTAGACCCATTTTGGATATGTATTTTTGGAAAAAAATTCAGTTTTTTGAAAATTTTGACCTAGGTCGAAATTTTGGTTTTTTCATCATTTCGACCATTTAAATCACTCAAATCGGCAATTTGACCATATATTCTGACTGTCGACAAAATCATGGTAACCTAGATAACCACAACCAATGGTAACCTAGGTAATCACAACCACGGTAACCTAGGTTACTACAACCATGGTAACCTAGGTAATATCAACCATGGTAACCTATGTAACCACAACTATGGTAACCTAGATAACCACAACCATGGTTACCTAAGTTACCACAACCATGGTATCCTAGGTTACCACAACCATGGTAAGCCTAGGTTACCACATTCATGGTAACCTAGGTTACCACAACCATGGTATCCTAAGTTACCACAACCATGGTAACCTAGATTAACACAACCATGGTAACCTAGGTTACCACAACCACGGTAACCTAGGTAACCACAACCATGGTAACCTATGTAACCACAACCATGGTAACCTTGGTTACCACAACCACGGTTACCTTGGTTACCACAACCACAGTAACCTAGGTTACCACAACCATGGTAACCTAGGTTATTACAACCGAGGTCACCTATGAAACCACAACCATGGTAACCTAGATAACCACAACCATGGTAACCCAGGTAACCACAACCACAGTAACCTAGGTTACCACAACCATTGTATCCTAGGTAACCACAACCATGGTAACCTAGGTCACCACAAACATGGTAACCTAGATAACCACAAACATGGTAACCTAGGTAACTACAACCACGGTAACCTAGGTTACCACAACCAAGGATAAGTTCATAAATGAGTTCAAAGTCAAGGTCGAGTTACAGGTCAAGGTCAAGAACAAGGTCAAAATCGGAGAATAGGTTATAAACAAGGTCGAGGTCAATATTAAAGATGAAGTCAAGGGGAAAATGAGGTCAAAGTCGAAGTAGAGGTCAAAGTCAAAGTCGAGTTAGAGGTCAAGGTCTAGAAGGAGGCCAAAGTCGAGGTCGAGGTCAAAGTCAGGTCAAGGTCAAGTTAGAGGTCAAGGTCATAAATGAGGTCAAAGTCAAGGTCAAGTAAGTGGGTCAAGGTCAAGTAAGAGGTCAAGGTCAAGAATGAGGTCAAAGTCAGGGTAGAGGTCAAAGTCAAGGTCAAGTAAGGGTCAAGGTCAAGAATGAGGTCAAAGTCGGGGTAGAGGTCAAAGTCAAGGTCAAGTTAGAGGTCAAGGTCAAGAATGAGGTCAAAGTCAGGGTAGAGGTCAAAGTCAAGGTCAAGTTAGAGGTCAAGGTCAAGAATGAGGCCAAAGTCGGGGTAGAGGTCAAAGTCAAGGTCAAGAATGTGGTCGAGTTCAAAGTCAAGGTTAAGATAGAGGTCAGTTTTTTGTAAATTTTGAGCTTGGTCGAAATTTTGGTTTTTTCATCATTTCGACCATTTAAATCACTCAAATCGGCAATTTGACCATATATTCTGAATGCTGACAAATTCTCTTGAGTTTGGACTAGGTTTGAGCGAATTTGGTGAAGAATTGTAGAATTTATGTAGGTTTTAGTGTGTTTTTGTGTTGTTTATACCTTGGGTAAACCTAGGTTTTTCTTCCTATACACAAATATATGTACAATTAACACATATGTATAGGTTAAAAGGCAAGCTGAGTCATTTGTGAATCTTTTAAGCCACAGTAGACCCATTTTGGATATGTATTTTTGGAAAAAAATTCAGTTTTTTGAAAATTTTGACCTAGGTCGAAATTTTGGTTTTTTCATCATTTCGACCATTTAAATCACTCAAATCGGCAATTTGACCATATAGTCTGATTGTCGACAAAATCATGGAACCTAGATAACCACAATCATGGTAACCTAGGTAATCACAACCACGGTAACCTAGGTTACTACAACCACGGTAACCTATGTACCCACAACCACGGTAACCTAGGTAATCACAACCACGGTAACCTAGGTTACTACAACCACGGTAACCTATGTACCCACAACCACGGTAACCTAGGTTACCACAACCTCGGTAACCTTGGTAACCACAATCACAGTAACCTAGGTTACCACAACCATGGTAACCTAGGTTATTACAACCAAGGTCACCTATGTAACCACAACCATGGTAACCTAGATAACCACAACCATGGTAACCTAGGTCACCACAACCACGGTAACCTAGGTAACCACAACCATGGTAACCTATATAACCACAACCACGGTAACCTTGGTTACCACAACCACGGTAACCTTGGTAACCACAACCACAGTAACCTAGGTTACCACAACCATGGTAACCTAGGTTATTACAACCAAGGTCACCTATGTAACCACAACCATGGTAACCTAGATGACCACAACCATGGTAACCCAGGTAACCACAACCATGGTAACCTAGATAACCACAACCATTGTATCCTAGGTTACCACAACCATGGTAACCTAGGTCACCACAAACATGGTAACCTAGATAACCACAAACATGGTAACCTAGGTAACCACAACCACGGTAACCTAGGTTACCACAACCAAGGATAAGTTCATAAATGAGTTCAAAGTCAAGGTCAAGTTACAGGTCAAGGTCAGAAACGAGGTCAAAATCGGAGAATAGGTCATACACAAGGTCGGGGTCAATATTAAAGATGAAGTCAAGGGGAAAATGAGGTCAAAGTCGACGTAGAGGTCAAAGTCAAAGTCGAGTTAGAGGTCAAGGTCTAGAAGGAGGCCAAAGTCGAGGTCGAGGTCAAAGTCATGGTCAAGTTAGAGGTCAAGGTCATAAATGAGGTCAAAGTCGGGGTAGAGGTCAAAGTCAAGGTCAAGTTAGAGGTCAAGGTCAAGAATGAGGTCAAAGTCGGGATAGAGGTCAAAGTCAAGGTCAAGTAAGGGGTCAAGGTCAAGAATGAGGTCAAAGTCAGGACAGAGGTCAAAGCCAAGGTCAAGTAAGAGGTCAAAATCGGGATAGAGGTCAAAGTTAAGTTCGAGTTAGAGGTCAAGGTCATGAATGAGGTCAAAGTCAGGGTAGAGGTCAAAGTCAAGGTCAAGGTCAAGTTAGAGGTCAAGGTCATAAATGAGGTCAAAGTCAAGGTCAAGTAAGGGGTCAAGGTCAAGAATGAGATCAAAGTCGGGACAGAGGTCAAAGCCAAGGTCAAGTAAGAGGTTAAAGTCGGGATAGAGGTCAAAGTTAAGTTCGAGTTAGAGGTCAAGGTCAAGATTGAGGCCAAAGTCGGGGTAGAGGTCAAAGTCAAGGTCAAGAATGTGGTCGAGTTCAAAGTCAAGGTTAAGATAGAGGTCAGTTTTTTGAAAATTTTGACCTAGGTCGAAATTTTGGTTTTTTCATCATTTCGACCATTTAAATCACTCAAATCGGCAATTTGACCATATATTCTGAAAGCTGACAAAATTCTCTTGAGTTTAGACTAGGTTTGATCGAATTTGGTGAAGAATTGTAGAATTTATGTAGGTTTTAGTGTGTTTTTGTGTTGTTATACCTTGGGTAAACCTAGGTTTTTCTTCCTATACACAAATATATGTACAATTAACACATATGTATAGGTTAAAAGGCAAGCTGAGTCATTTGTGAATCTTTTAAGCCACAGTAGAGCCATTTTGGATATGTATTTTTGGCAAAAAAATTCAGTTTTTTGTAAATTTTGACCTAGGTCGAAATTTTGGTTTTTTCATCATTTCGACCATTTAAATCACTCAAATCGGCAATTTGACCATATATTCTGAAAGCTGACAAAATTCTCTTGAGTTTAGACTAGGTTTGATCGAATTTGGTGCAGAATTGTAGAATTTATGTAGGTTTTAGTGTGTTTTTGTGTTGGTCATACCTTGGGTAAACCTAGGTTTTTCTTCCTATACACAAATATATGTACAATCAACACATATGTATAGGTTAAAAGGCAAGCTGAGTCATTTGTGAATCTTTTAAGCCACAGTAGAGCCATTTTGGATATGTATTTTTGGAAAAAAATTCAGTTTTTTGAAAATTTTGAGCTAGGTCGAAATTTTGGTTTTTTCATCATTTCGACCATTTAAATCACTCAAATCGGCAATTTGACCATATATTCTGATTGTCGACAAAATCATGGAACCTAGATAACCACAATCATGGTAACCTAGGTAATCACAACCACGGTAACCTAGGTTACTACAACCACGGTAACCTATGTACCCACAACCACGGTAACCTAGGTTACCACAACCACGGTAACCTAGGTAACCACAACCATGGTAACCTATGTAACCACAACCATGGTAACCTAGGTTATTACAACCAAGGTCACCTATGTAACCACAACCATGGTAACCTAGATAACCACAACCATGGTAACCTAGGTCACCACAACCACGGTAACCTAGGTAACCACAACCATGGTAACCTATATAACCACAACGACGGTAACCTTGGTTACCACAACCACGGTAACCTAGGTTACACAACCAAGGATAAGTTCATACATGAGTTCAAAGTCAAGGTCAAGTTACAGGTCAAGGTCAGAAACGAGGTCAAAATCGGAGAATAGGTCATACACAAGGTCGGGGTCAATATTAAAGATGAAGTCAAGGGGAAAATGAGGTCAAAGTCGACGTAGAGGTCAAAGTCAAAGTCGAGTTAGAGGTCAAGGTCTAGAAGGAGGCCAAAGTCGAGGTCGAGGTCAAAGTCATGGTCAAGTTAGAGGTCAAGGTCATAAATGAGGTCAAAGTCGGGGTAGAGGTCAAAGTCAAGGTCAAGTTAGAGGTCAAGGTCAAGAATGAGGTCAAAGTCGGGATAGAGGTCAAAGTCAAGGTCAAGTAAGGGGTCAAGGTCAAGAATGAGGTCAAAGTCAGGACAGAGGTCAAAGCCAAGGTCAAGTAAGAGGTCAAAATCGGGATAGAGGTCAAAGTTAAGTTCGAGTTAGAGGTCAAGGTCATGAATGAGGTCAAAGTCAGGGTAGAGGTCAAAGTCAAGGTCAAGGTCAAGTTAGAGGTCAAGGTCATAAATGAGGTCAAAGTCAAGGTCAAGTAAGGGGTCAAGGTCAAGAATGAGATCAAAGTCGGGACAGAGGTCAAAGCCAAGGTCAAGTAAGAGGTTAAAGTCGGGATAGAGGTCAAAGTTAAGTTCGAGTTAGAGGTCAAGGTCAAGATTGAGGTCAAAGTCGGGATAGAGGTCAAAGTCAAGGTCAAGTTAGAGGTCAAGGTCAAGAATGAGGCCAAAGTCGGGGTAGAGGTCAAAGTCAAGGTCAAGTTAGAGGTCAAGGTCATAAATGAGGTCAAAGTCGGGTAGAGGTCTAAGTCAAGGTCAAGTAAGGGGTCAAGGTCAAGTAAGAGGTCAAAGTCGGGATAGAGGTCAAAGTTAAGTTCGAGTTAGAGGTCAAGGTCATGAATGAGGTCAAAGTCAGGGTAGAGGTCAAAGTCAAGGTCAAGGTCAAGTTAGAGGTCAAGGTCATGAATGAGGTCAAAGTCAAGGTCAAGTAAGTGGTCAAGGTCAAGAATGAGGTCAAAGTCGGGACAGAGGTCAAAGCCAAGGTCAAGTAAGAGGTCTAAAGTCGGGATAGAGGTCAAAGTTAAGTTCGAGTTAGAGGTCAAGGTCAAGAATGAGGTCAAAGTCGGGGTAGAGGTCAAAGTCAAGGTCAAGTTAGAGGTCAAGGTCAAGAATGAGGTCAAAGTCAGGGATAGAGGTCAAAGTCAAGGTCAAGTTAGAGGTCATGGTCAAGAATGAGGCCAAAGTCGGGGTAGAGGTCAAAGTCAAGGTCAAGAATAAGGTCGAGTTCAAAGTCAAGGTTAAGATAGAGGTCAGTTTTTTGAAAATTTTGACCTAGGTCGAAATTTTGGTTTTTTCATCATTTCGACCATTTAAATCACTCAAATCGGCAATTTGACCATATATTCTGAAAGCTGACAAAATTCTCTTGAGTTTAGTCTAGGTTTGATCGAATTTGGTGAAGAATTGTAGAATTTATGTAGGTTTTAGTGTGTTTTTGTGTTGTTCATACCTTGGGTAAACCTAGGTTTTTCTTCCTATACACAAATATATGTACAATTAACACATATGTATAGGTTAAAAGGCAAGCTGAGTCATTTGTGAATCTTTTAAGCCACAGTAGACCCATTTTGGATATGTATTTTTGGAAAAAAATTCAGTTTTTTGAAAATTTTGACCTAGGTCGAAATTTTGGTTTTTTCATCATTTCGACCATTTTAATCACTCAAATCGGCAATTTGACCATATATTCTGAAAGCTGACAAAATTCTCTTGAGTTTAGACTAGGTTTGATCGAATTTGGTGAAGAATTGTAGAATTTATGTAGGTTTTAGTGTGTTTTTGTGTTGTTCATACCTTGGGTAAACCTAGGTTTTTCTTCCTATACACAAATATATGTACAATTAACACATATGTATAGGTTAAAAGGCAAGCTGAGTCATTTGTGAATCTTTTAAGCCACAGTAGACCCATTTTGGATATGTATTTTTGGAAAAAAATTCAGTTTTTTGAAAATTTTGACCTAGGTCGAAATTTTGGTTTTTTCATCATTTCGACCATTTAAATCACTCAAATCGGCAATTTGACCATATATTCTGATTGTCGACAAAATCATG